AAATCCAAACGTAGGGGAAAGCACCGTTAGAAACATTGAAATAAATATCACAAGACATGAAAGGTATAACATTTTCTTTTCGCCGTAATATGAGTCGGTGAGGCTGGAGAGAAGCGGAAGACCAATTAGACATCCAAAGAAAAAGAGATCTCAATAACCCTTTGACAGAAGATCCACCGCATTGTAGACTATACATATATTACATACTAGATTTTAACCCGCGGTACACCGCGGGATGATTTATTTTTAATGTTAGTATAAAAATATTTTGTAAATTGTATCTCCTTATAAAATATTTATTTATATTATAGTTTACAATTGTTATTAAGTAACGGTATACCATGAGTCCACGAGACAATTGTTAATAAACTGATGATTTAACCCGTATTAAAGCGGCATGTTAATGATATTTATAAATATTGATTCAAATTCGTCCGCCATATAAACCCGTTCCGAAATATAACCCGTTCCGTAGTTTCTTAACCCGTCCCGTGATTTGTTTTTATTATAAAATTTAATAATTATTTATTATATATAAAAGTTTAAAAATCATATCATTCTCTAAGTCATTTATATTTTAATAAACTGAAGATTTAATCTGTATTAAAGCGACATGTTAATGATATTTTAAAATTTTATAAATATTGATTCAAACTCGTCCACCATATAACTTCGTTCCAGAATATAACCCGTCATGTAACTTCTTAACTCGTCCCGTGATTTGTTTTCTAAAAATAGTAATTTTTAAAATTTAACGATTATTTATTATATATAAAAGTTTGCAAATTGTATCATTTTCTAAGATATCTATATTTTATAGTTTACAATTGTTATTAAGTAACATTATACCACGGGACAATTTTTAGTTTTATACAATCTTTTCTAAATGAGATTCATTTAATATGTCTAATATTGGTGGGATTAAAAAAAATTAAGGATTTAATCCGTATTGAAGCGGCGGATTAATAATATTTTAATATTTTTATTATTGTTGATTCAAAAACCCATCCCGCCAAACCTGTCCCGCCAAAAAACTCATTTATTTTATTAATGTTGATCTTATTTATGATATGATTTTGAATCATTGTCTAAATATTTTAATCGATGTAGAACGTTGAACACACATTTTCGTCAATTAGATAATATATGTCCGTTTTTAAAATTTCGAATCACAATATATGCAGAAAAAAAATTGATTTTTTTTTTACTTTATGTATTGTATGATGATTCAAAACAGTTAAAAACAAATAAAACAAAGATGATATGAGAATCATAATTCTAAATCTTAATCAAATCTTCTAAATATCTAAATTATTAAATATGGAATATCCGGTGTATGAGTTGGGTTAAATATAACCCGACCCAACAAATTTTTTGTGAAGGAATTTAAAAAACGGGTCGGATATCCGATTAACCCAGAAGCATTTTTACCCACCCGTCACCAAAGTGTTGCAAAAATACTAGTATAGATGTGTAGAAGTTGAGCCGAAAGTCCATAAAACAAAACTTTAAAAGGTCATATAAATGTAAAACCATAGAGGAGTAGATAATGTAAGATTTGGTAATACAAATATGAGAATTAGGTAAGTAGGAAAGAGAAAAAAAATTTAAACCATACATGTCTTTCTTATTTTGTTTAATTTACACAATATGCCACTCTCAAAACACTGTTCAATACGAGATACTGTACACGTGATACTGTTCATCAACCTTCTCACAAAACTATTCATTTAAATTCGGGAACACTATTCACCACCGGATTATACAAAATATTTTAAAATTTGTATGGATAACTATTTGATTAACATGTTAACTAGTATAGTAGCGCGATAGATTCAGATAACTATTTGATTAACATGTTAACTAGTATAATATCTCGATAAATTCATATATTATTTGTTAAATGTATATTTATCGGGGCAATTGACAAAAATAGCCCCAAAAAAGTTTTTTTTTCCAAAATTAGCACAACATTTCTAAAATTCCACAAATAGCACCCTAAACCTTAATTAAAATAGAAAATAAGAGCAAACACTAACCTAATATTAAATTGAATCAAAATTTCTTTTAAATAGTGGAAATATATACCCTAAATTGGAAATAGGGAACCCAAATATAATCCCACAAACTAATATTAAAATGAATCAAAATCTCTTTTAAATGGTGGAAATATATACCCTAAATTGGAAATAATTAACCCAAACATAATAACACAAATTCAATATTAAAATGAATCAATATCTCTTTTAAATGGTAGAAATATATACCCTAAATTGTAAATAAAGAACCCAAATATAATATTTTAAATTTATTTCTAATTTATTTTGGTTGAATAGTTTTTATATAAAAATTGTGATATTATTGGAAAAAATAAACTAATGATAATAATTTTAGAACAAAAACTTAATAGTTAATCAACTAGTGCTATTTTTGGAAGTTTATGAGAGTGTGTGCTATAATTGTCCATAAAACTTGTTTTAGTGCTATTTTGAAGAATTTCTCTATTTATCGTGTTAAACCATTTAATATCATATAAATTAATAAAAAAATATCAATTTAATATTACGAATTTTTTTACTATTATTTTTAATAAAAATTATTATAAGAGATTACTTATAATTATAGTGATAACAATAATGATTATGATAAGACGATTATTATAAGAGATTACTTATCACGTTAACACGTGATACATATTAAATTTCCGAATAACAGTTGTATGAACACGGTAAGATAGTCGATATGTGGATAATATTTATATTAACATGTAACTTACACATAATATTCATCAATAATAATTGATAACGAAGTTAACGTGATAACAATGAAAATAACTAACGATGAAATATAATATGTTTTGTTTTAGATCTGCTCACCGACAAGATAGACGGAGAAGACGGTGGTGCTTATAAAACTTTTTAGCTCTCGCATCTTCTCCGACGCTATCACTATAAAATCCTTTAGATTGCCGCATCTCTCCGACGCCATCTGAATCCATGATTCCATTCACGGAACCTCTTTTTTGCCCAAACTCACCACCACCGATAATATAATTATCACCACTATCATCGTAAATACCATCTCCACCATTGTTAAGAATCCAATTATTTTAAATAGTAATGAGCACCATTTACAATCACCACCGCGGTAGCCGACACGTAATCGAAATAAGAACCACCACTACCGATTGTCTTTCTCCAACATAAAATCAAATTGACGATGTAATTTTTCAAACACACATGTTTGTTCCAAAAATTCTATGATAATTTGAGAATCTCATTAATGAAAAAAAAAAATAGAAGAGGAAGAAGACATGAAAGAATAAACGAAAGAGAAGAGAGATGAAAGAGTAACAAAAAAAAGAAAAAATAGAGAGAAGGGTAGTGATGTAACTTTATATGTTGTTGCACTGTGTAAATAGTGACAAAAAGTCTCACCGCATGTAGATACCCAACTTTAAACAGCAAATGATTATAAGTATCAAGTAGTTTTAGGGACATAATTTTCAAAAATGTTATTATGATTTAGTGCTCAGTGAAAAATTTTACTGTTTAGATCAGGATTTTGATCCCAAATTTTATTAAAACTTGTTATTTTATTTTTAATAGTTTTTGTTAGTTGGTCAAATGTTTTTTTGCTTAAGGCAACAAAATAATCTGGACCGACCCAATAGAAGAGATGTCTCTTGACCGTGCCAAGAGTTTTGGTGGCCTAAGGCAAAAAAAAAAACGTTTAATACATTTTTGTATTAAAATTTGTTATAATTTATTATTACATTTAGACATTTTTTATTTTTTAATAAAATAAATATAATTAAAATTATTTTTTAATCTATGAATATAACATTTTGTACTATTTACTATGAATGTATAATTTTACACTATTTTCATAATCTATTTTCTAATTAATATTTTCTCCGTTTCAAAATATAAGACGTTTTAGTAAAAAGCACGCAAATTAAAAAATATCTACTTTTAAAAAGTTCAACCAATCATGAATGAGACTAAATAATATAAATAATCAGAAAATATTAAATTAATAGTTTGCATGGAAACTTGAAAACGTCTTACATTTTGAAACAAAAATAATACCTCAAAATGTCTTACATTTTAAAATGGATGGAGTATTTTTATTTATGAAAATACTAAAATTCAAAATATTATATTATGAAATAATGAAGAGAAATACCAATATCAATACTTTTAATATACAGTATTTAACAAAATTTCAAAATTAAGAAAAATAGCACTAAAAATATGTATTTTACTAATATATCAAATAATTATTTAAAACTTGGGGGCCCTAAAATTTGCTTAATATTGAGGGGCCTAGGACAATTGCCTTTTTTTTTTCCTCATAGGCACGGCTCTGGGAGAGGTTGTATGCATATGTTGAAAATGGCTGGACAGCAGATCTAGCCTGATTCGGTGCAGTTCCCATAGCGGTTCCGAGTCAGTGAAGATCTATTAAACGTCAAAAACGCTGGAGAGTGAGACCAATATGGTTTGCGGGAACTTGGCCCATCTAAAGCGTGTGATACCTTGCTCAATCTTATCATCTAAAAATCTCAGCTCTATTAGAAACTCCAACTCGAACAAGTTCAAAACAAACACAAGCTCTTTTATTGGGGATTAGACATTTTTTTTTATCTAAATTTGATAAAAGGTTTCGAGTGATTGATCTCTTATCCTGAGATATCTTATAATGTTGATCACAAATGCCAAAAAAAAAAAAAAAAAAAAAATGGGTAACTACTAACTCTTTACTTTTCTCCATGCACACCCGAAAGTCTTCTCTATACGTCTACGATAATAGTAATAGTCTAATTCACTAAAATCAATCATGGCGGCTTTTCACATAGAATATTCAACGAATAAGGAAGTTTCATTTCTCATTTTTAATCCTCTTTTAATAAAATTTCATTTAAAAAGAAAATAAAATAAATCTACCGACTCAAAATAACCATTTTATATATATGTTGTAACGATCTCTTGCGAGTTAAGCCAGTAGTAAGTAGTAACTACAAAAAATCAGAAGCTCCCAAGCTCAAAATCATCATCAATGGCGGCGATTACTGAATTTCTACCAAACGAGTACGGATATGTCGTTCTCGTCCTCGTCTTCTACTGTGTCCTCAACCTCTGGATGGGTTTTCAAGTCGGCGGAGCTCGTAAAAGGTTTCATCAATCTCTTAGATCGTTACGACTTGAATTCGCCATTTAAATCGAATCGAGGACGATGATAGATCGTTCCCTTAGCTCTTGATTTGAATCGAATTGTGCGGGAATTTGATTGAAATCACTGTATTCAACTTCGTCCTTAGTTTTCTTGTAAATTGGATTCATTGTTTTGATGTTCTCATCTGTTACGAACTTAGCAGGATTCTGATCTGTTGTGTTTGTTCATCTTCAATTTGAATAACTCTTTCTGTTGATTGATTACTTTGACCTAGATCGTCTCTACGCTCTTGTTTTCTTTCGAATTGTGCGGAAAATTGTCTGAAATCAGTATAAGGATGTTACCTGAAACTAGAATTTTATCAAATGTTAGCAGAGTTTTGATCTCACTTGTTATTATGTTCTCATCAGTTTGATTTAAAATCGAATCAAGACCGAGATAGATCGTCCCCTTTCCTCTTGATTTCTTTCGATTTGCGCAGAAATCTGTAGATTGATGTGACCTAAAAGCTAGAAATTTTTTTAAATGTTTGCAGAGTTTTGGTGTTACTCTATCCAGTTTCATCCTAAGTTTTCTTGTAATCTGGATTCTGTAGTTTGATCCCTTGTTTTGATGTTCTCATCGGTTCGATTTCATTTGGGAAGCATGTATTGTTTGACAGGATTATGAATCTGTTGTGTTTGTTCATCTTCAATTTGGAAACCTTCATGTTGATTGATTACTGTGAGCTAGATCATCTCTTTGCTCTTGCTTTCTTTCCAATTGTGCGGAAAAATAATTAAAATTCGATTTTAGGTTGACAAGTTTTGGATTTTGTAGTCTGATTCATTGGTTTTATGTTCTCATCTGTTCGATTTTAAGCTGGGAAGTAGTATGTTGAACTTAGCAGGATTCTGATATGTTGTTTATTCATCTTCAATTTAAAACAACTCTTTCTATTGATTGATTACTATGAGCTAGATCGTCTATTTGCTCTTGTTTTCTTTCGAATTGTGCGGAAAATTGATTGAAATCAGTATATTGATGTTACCTAAAACTACAATTTTATCAAATGATAGCAGAGTTTTGGTCTCACTCAAATAAGTTTTCTTATAAAAATTGTTTTTATGTTATCATCAGTTTGATTTCATTTGAGAATCATGTTGAACTTAGCAGGATTCTAATCTAATGATTGATCATTATGATCAATACTGATGCAGGTACAACGTGCCGTATCCAACTCTATATGCTATAGAATCAGAAAACAAAGATGCTAAGCTCTTCAACTGTGTTCAGGTTGAAATCTACTTAAAACTCTTCTTGTGTGATTCGGTCTTCTTCTTCTACTACTTGTTTTGAGGTGTGATAATTTTGTGGTTACAGAGAGGACATCAAAACTCTTTAGAGTATATGCCAATGTATTTCATATTGATGATCCTTGGTGGGATGAAGCATCCTTGCATCAGTACTGGCCTTGGATTGCTTTACAGCGTTACCCGTTACTTCTACTTCAAAGGTTACGCTACTGGAGATCCCATGAAGCGTCTCACTATCGGGTTTGTTCTTTTATCCTCTTATCAGAGTTCATTATCATTATTGATTTATTCAGCTAAGTTAGTCAGAGTAATAGAGTTTAGACTTGTACATAAGGTTGTAAGTGAAGATTTTCCTAAACTGAGTTCTTCGATTATGGTATCAGAGCGTCAATTTCTTCGTGTTTCCGCACCGCAACTTTTCCCATCCTCAATTCATTTCAAAATTTCCTCATTTTGGATCTACTTCGACTTGATTCCAGTTATTCATCTGAGTCAAATTTATGGTTGATAATCTTTATATTCTATAATGTTGCAGGAAATACGGTTTCTTGGGACTGATAGGTCTGATGATCTGTACCATCTCGTTTGGCGTCACTCTTATCCGTGCTTGATCCACTCGTTTCTGAATTAATAATCACTGGGTTTGCTCAGTCGAATATGGAACCAAATCTTGTAAGCTGTCCACAAAACTTGTGTAATGTTTGTCACTTTTTAAAGTAGTAATGAATCATGGCTTTATATAGAACAGCTGAATTACACATCCCTATGCGTTAATAAAGTTTTAAATTATGAGGACAGTCGTCGACGATAGCTTATGAGATATCTATAACAAAAGATGTAATCTTGGCTCTTCTTTTGGGTTTTGAATCTTTTGGTGTTCTTAAGATCCGCCTTTTATCTAACTCAGTGATCAAAACTCATACGACACGTTATCTTGGCTTGTTAGTTGTTACAAAAAAGCTGAAAAAATAAACAAAAACCGTGAACGGCAGGATTCGAACCTGCGCGGGCAAAGCCCACATGATTTCTAGTCATGCCCGATAACCACTCCGGCACGTCCACTGTTTGAGTTGTAATTTAAATATAAGTTAATTATAGGTACTGAGACAATAATTTAAATATAAGTTAATTATAGGTACTGAGACAACACGTTACGACTCTACGTGGTACGTTGATTCCTTGTTTAAAAAATAGCAAGAAAATCGGAGATTAAACGGGGATTAATCGGGGAGTAGTTTTAAGGCTATTTAATATTTTAAAAACATATTAATCTATTATAAATAAGAAATTTATATAATCTTGTTTTTAAAATTGCATTAAACACATAAAAACAAGAATTTAAGGTCAAACTTATGATTTTTTATGAACATAGTGGGACGTTTTAAATTTTAGATCCAAAAAAAGAAAAAAAATGTTAAAAAAAAAAAAAAAATGGGTTAGGCGCCGTCTAGGCGGGCTAGGCGGACAAAAATCGGATCACCGATTTTATTTACCGATTTGGACAAAATCGCCGCGGTCCCCACCCGATCAGCGCCTAGGCGGCCGATTTTTAGAACATGGGTTGATTGTATATGACACTAACTATTTGCTGAATATGATTAAGCCTTTTTATAGGCTGTTTGAGTTCCATAGGCGCAAAACGTGACGAGAAACCGACAATAATATATGATATATGACGGAATTATAATGTATTGACCCAAAAAAAACAAAGATTAGCTACAATACCTACATAACCACGTGGAAATGGATGTTCAAGTTGCTTTTAATGTTCTACATAACCGTGACGAGAAACCGACAAAATGAGACACCTACGTAACCACGAAGAACATTAAAAGAATTTGACCCCAAAAAAAATTATTTAGCTATAAACCTTTAATTAGGTATAACCGCATAAGTTATAACTAACTACACAATGCAACAACGTGAACATCCATTTTACCAAAAAAAAAACGTGAACATCCATATTTTTTTTTTATTATTATCTATTAGAATGTCCCACATTGCTTGGGATTAAGATCTTTCGGTAGTATATAAAGGATGTGGCAATCCTTAACTCTTGAGCTAGCTTTTGGGTTAAGTTAGGCCACATTCCTAATATTATCAAAAAAGCAACGTGAACATGATCCATTTCCACTCGACATATTATGCTCAAAATTTACTAAAAGAGTGAATCACTTGATAACTATACTTATTATGAGAAATTGATTAGTTGGTTGGTAAAAATTAATATGAACATTTGCATTATACAATTTTTTTTTTTTAGATTGAGTGGTTTTTAATCATTATATATTATCTATTTTTATGTGAACACATTTCATTTATCAAATAATTTTTTATAAAACTAAACTCTAAATCTGATGTTCTAAAATATAACTTTTATTTAGTAAATTAGATGACAAATAACATGTTACAGAAAAAAATTCAAATCGTTACGTAATAGTTGATGAAAGTAAACTCATCCAAACAGGCAAACACGTTTAAAAAGTTTCAGAATACATAATGCTATCTTAGGGAGGTTAATTAAGTTTTCTCATTACATAGCGATCTATCTATCAATATATATGCAGAAGATCGGTCGGGTGCGTGGTATTGCTCTCTCTTCGGAAAAATTTCAGTTCATATTCAATTCTGAGTTTGATTTGGAAGAAGTCTTAGAGAAAGGGGTCCATACTTACAACGAATGGGCTCTTGCTGTTGAACGATGGGTGGAGCATCCACCGGATAATTATCTGCAATTTCTTCCCATTTGGATCCAAATCTGGAAGTTACCCATCAATTTTTACACAGCCAAAGCTATCTCTTCTCTTGCTGATCTCATAGGACAAGTAAAAGTGGTGGAATTCGACCCAGATAAGCCTCAGATTTTACCCTTTGTTAGGGTTCTGGTTCTCTTCGATATCTCAAGGCCTCTTCGCAGAGCTAAGGTCGTCAATCTGCCTCAAGGAGGTACTACTTCGGTCCATTTTGAGTACGAGAGAATCCAGAAGAGATGTTACGAATGCCAACGACTGACTCATGAAAGGGATTCTTGCCCGCTGTTCCTGAAGAACAAAGAAGCGGTTGTTAAAGGTAAAGGTCATTCCCGAGCTCCGGTGCCTAAAGCTCCTTTCCTCAAGCAAACTGATTTGCTCTTTGGGATTCTGGAAGAGCATCAAGTTGGTCTCAATCCAACTACAGGAAGACAGAGAATTGCCCCAGAGGTGTTAGAAGGGATGCGGCAGTATGTGAATGTTTCTAATGCGGATGAAAAGCTGATCAGGATTGAAAGGATAAAGAAATCGGTTCGAGAAGTTGAGAGTGATCCCTTAATGGCCAAGTCCTTTCTGCAGTTAGAGTCTCCTCCAGTGGTTTCTACTACCTTGAGCAAACCTAAAGGAATTGTTTTCAGCTACAAGGACCAGTCTCCCTCGCAGTCTTACTCTCAAACTCCGTCTAGCAGCCTATTTCTTTCGTCTAACTCTTTGATTCCAGCTGTTGGTGATCTCTCTTTGGGGGTCCCTGTTTCTAATGATTTTCTATGCTTGGGCCAGTCTTCTCAGGATATTTCTACGGTGTACAGAACAGGTTGCCTTGCAACTAGTTCTTCCGGGAATATTCAAAAGATAACCAAACCAAGAAAAAGGCCAAGTAAAATCACTAGAAAGCTCAAACAGGCGGCTTCTATGGTTCCAAAAGAAGCAGTGAACATAGAGGAAGGGCTGTGCTCTGGTTTTTTGGTTCATAGGAAGGAGGGAAAGAAGTCTCAAGTTTCTGTTGAAGAGACGGTTGTACCTACCTTGAAGATGGGTTTTGAGATAGGTCAGCAAGTTAAAAGAAAGGCTGTTGAAGAGTTGGTCTGCCCATCAAAACTCTCTAAACCCAAACCAAAAGAGGTGATCCCAATTGAGGGATCGCCCAATGTTTAATGAGCATTGTGAGCTGGAATTGCCAAGGATTGGGACGGTCTCATGAATTGGTAATTCCTCGTCTCAAAGAAATGCGTAAAAAACATTTCCCAGAGATGTTGTTCTTGATGGAAACTATGCACAGTAGAGATGTTCTAGTAGATTTGCAAGTATGGTTAGGGTATGAAAGGGTCATCACAGTGGAGCCTGTGGGAAAGAGTGGTGGCCTTGCACTGTTCCTTAAAAGTGGGGTTATGGTTGATCTAAAGTATATTGACAAGAATCTGATGGATATGCATGTACAGTTTGGATCTATTTCCTTTTTTCTGTCTTGTATTTATGGTGATCCAGTTTTCAAACCAAGGAAAGAGAACTGGGAAAGATTGAGTAGAATTGGAGTTGGAAGGAAGGAAGAGTGGTGTATGGTTGGTGACTTCAACGACATTCTACATAATGGTGAAAAGTTAGGTGGACCAAGGAGGAGTGAGAATGTTTTTAAACCTTTTGCTGAGATGCTGCAGGCTTGTGAAATGGTGGAAATGTCTAGTCATGGTAACAAGTTTACATGGGCTGGAAGGAGATATGACCTATGGGTTCAAAGCAGGCTTGATAGAGCATTTGGGAACAAAGAGTGGTTCAAACATTTTCCTGCCTCCAATCAGACGTTCATGGATGTTAGAGGGTCGGATCACAGGCCTGTGATGATTAAATTGATAGATTCTCAAGACACATATAGAGGACAGTTCCGTTTTGACAAGAGGATGCTGAATAAGCCTTTGGTTGTGGAAGCTATTGCTGGAGCGTGGTCCGCACCTTCTGGTTCTGGGATTTCAAGTGTTTCTGAGAGGTTGAGATCTTGTAGGAAATCTTTGAGTCTTTGGAAGAAGTCCAACAATCTGAATTCAAAAGACAAAATCACCTTGATAGAACAGGCTTTGGAGAGGGAGCAATCTTCTTCTTTTCCCAGGTTTCAATTGGTGTGGGAGCTGAAAAGAGATTTAGTTTCTGCCTACAAGGAGGAAGAAGTTTACTGGCACCAAAAAAGTAGGGCTAAATGGATGAAGAGTGGAAATAGAAACACCAAGTATTTTCATTCTTCAGTCAAGGACAATAGAACCAGAAAAAGAATTGAGTTATTGCTGGATGTCAATGGGAATGAGCAAAAGTCAGAGGCAGCTAAAGGAGAGGTAGCCTCCGCTTATTTCTCTTCCTTATTCAAATCATCAAATCCGCCTGGCTTTGATTCTTGGTTCTCTGATCTGCCGCCTAAAGTGAATGCTGAGATGAATGTGGACTTGATTGCACCTGTTTCGACTCAAGAAATCAAAGATGCTGTTTTCTCTATCAAGCCTTCCAGTGCTCCTGGTCCTGATGGGATGTCTGGTTTGTTCTTCCAACAGTACTGGGATATTGTAGGAGAGCAGGTGGTTAGTGAGGTTAAGCTATTTTTTGAGTCTGGGATTTTTCCAAGAGAATGGAATTACACTCATCTTTGCTTGTTGCCAAAGATCCATCATCCTTCTCTCATGACTGATCTAAGACCAATAAGTTTATGTTCTGTTCTCTACAAGGTGATCTCCAAAGTTCTGGTTAGGCGTCTCCAACCTTTTCTACCCGTCATTGTTTCAGATTATCAATCAGCCTTCGTTACTGATAGATTGATAACTGATAATATTTTGGTAGCGCATGAAATGATTCATTGTCTCAACACCAAGGCTTCTTTTTCTTCTGATTACATGGCTGTGAAATCTGATATGTCAAAGGCCTTTGACAGAGTTGAATGGTGTTACTTAAGAGCTCTTCTTCTGGCGCTGGGGTTCCATGGGAAATGGGTTGACTGGATTCTGTTTTGTGTATCTTCGGTCACATACTCGGTTCTTATTAATGATCAGCCTTTTGGTTTGATAGTACCTGAGAGAGGTCTGCGCCAAGGAGACCCTTTATCTCCATTTTTGTTTGTATTGTGTACTGAAGGTCTAACTCACTTATTAAACAAGGCACAACAGGCTGGAAAGTTAACTGGTATACAATTTCAAGCTGAGGGGCCAATGATTCATCATCTTTTGTTTGCAGATGACAGTTTGTTTATCTGTAAGGCCATCGAGGAGGAGTGTTTGGTCTTGAGAGACATTTTAAATGCCTATGGAGCCGCTACTGGTCAAGTTGTCAACCCCTCTAAGTCATCTATCACGTTTGGTTCCAAAGTGGATGAGGTCTCCAAAGGGTTGATAAAAGACAGGCTGCAAATTTGCAAAGAGGGAGGGGCTGGTACCTATCTTGGGCTACCAGAATGTTTCTCAGGTTCTAAAATTGACCTGTTGAACTACATTAAAGATAGGCTCAATTCCAAGCTCTCCGGGTGGCATACAAAGAATCTCTCCCAAGGTGGTAAGGAAGTTCTCCTTAAGTCTGTTGCTATGGCTATGCCCGTTTTTGCCATGTCTTGTTTCAAATTACCAAAGACTTCATGTGAGAATCTTTCTAGTGCTATGGCTTCTTTCTGGTGGAGTTCATGTGAGCATGCTAACAAGATTCACTGGGTCAGTTGGGAGAAGATGTGCCTGTCAAAGGATCTTGGTGGCCTGGGTTTTAGAGATGTTCAGCTCTTTAATCAAGCCCTTCTGGCCAAGCAGGCCTGGCGCCTTATTCAGTATCCTGAGTGCCTTTTTGCATCGATAATGAAGGATAGGTATTATCCCTTCTGTGACTTTCTTGAAGCTGGTCTAGGAAGTAGGCCTTCTTTCGGTTGGAGAAGTATCTTACATGGCAGGGATTTGCTTATCAAAGGCCTTTTGAAACGTGTTGGAAATGGGAACTCGCTTCGAGTTTGGATGGATCCTTGGATAGAGGATGGTTCAGTGAGGATGCCATGGATCAAAAATCCCCTGATAAATATTGATATGAGAGTGGCTGATCTCATTGACTTCAGAAACAGAGATTGGGATTTATTAAAGCTAGAGGAGCTTTTTTATCCAGGGGATATCATAAAGATTAGAAAAAAGAAACCTTTGATCTCTCAAGAGGATTTCTGGATTTGGAGGCACAACAGAAGTGGGGATTTCACTGTGAAATCTGCCTATTGGCTCGCTTGTCAATCTAAAGATTCAGAGATCATGTTGAATGCTTCCTTCTTGCCATCGATTAATGACCTAAAGTCACAGGCTTGGAAACTCCAAACAGATCCAAAGATCAAAGTTTTTCTGTGGAAAGTTTTGAGTGGGGCTCTTCCAGTGTCTGATAGGCTTAACCAAAGAGGTATGAAATTGTGTGATATCTGTCATTGTTGTGGTGAGACAGGGGAATCCATCAATCATGTTTTGTTCTCTTGTCCGGCGGCCAGGCAAATTTGGGCCTTGTCAGACTATCCTTCACCTGAGGATGGGTTTGATAAGGGTTCTATCTTCTCCAATCTGCATCATCTTTTGGTTAATAGAGATAACAAGAATTGGCCAGCGCATTTGAGGAAAAAGTTCCCATGGATTCTGTGGAGAATTTGGAAGAACAGAAATTCCTTTTTCTTTGAAGGCAAGCTATTTTTAGCAACAGAGACTATTGAGAAGATTGACGATGATACTCAAGAATGGTTTGCCGCTCAAAGTCTTGATCCGGAGGAGGAGGAGCAAGTAGCCAACAGGCCTATTGGGTTGGTTTCAGCTAATGTTTTGATTGATGGGGTGGCCTCTCCTACTTGGGTCCCTCCTCCTTCTGAGTGGCTTAAATGCAACGTTGGTATTGACTGGTCCAAAAGGACCCCTTTATTAGGCTGCTCATGGGTCTTGAGGAATGATCAAGGTACTGTCTTGCTTCATAGCAGGAATGCTATTCCTAATATCAGAGATAAGGAAGCTGCGTCCTTCCAAGGCGTTTTATGGGCTGTGGAGAGTCTTGTGAGTCATGGTATTTCCAAGGTCATTCTGGAAATTGAGGATTCTACTTTGGTGGGTTGTGTCTTGCGACCAAAAGCTTGGCCTTCCTTCAGATGGGAAGCTTTTGAGTTGTTGAAGGTTTTGGAAGGGTTACAGGTTTGGAAATTAACGGTTGTGTGCAGGAAAGCGAATAGAGGAGCTCATCTCATCGCGCAAAGTGTCTCTGGTGGATATAGAGTTCGCTCTTATGTTGCCTCTAGTCATCCTTTTTGGTTAGAGGATGTCTTTGCCAGTGAGAGAGTTGTATCCTCTGTGTGATCGCTTCTAATGACTCTGTTTTTGGAGTGTCATTCTTTTGTAAAGGCCATGTTCATATAAATGGCTTAGGTTTAGATGGAAGTCTTTTGGTTTCTTACTTCCTGGTTTGGGTATTTGTACGGTGTTTTGAGTTCTTTCAAAAGATCAATATATGAATTCCAGTTGACAAAAAAAAAAAATCTATCAATATATATAAATAATTCTAAACTATAAGAATTATATCAATGGTGTATATAAAAATTACACTATATGCGTGTATATATTATTACTATTTGACTCATGATAACTACTTTAAGCTTCTTCTTTTTTTAAATTTAAGCTATTTTGTGACCCCTACAAAATCAAATATCACTATCCATGGATTTTCATTGCCTTTTTGTCCTTGAAGGATTTATTTTTGAGGACAAGCGCAAAAGGATTTGATCGCATTGAAGGGAATCTATTGGTAGAAATTAAAGATTAATTTTAAGTTGCAAATAAAGAGACCCAAGCCACTTGTGCTTGCCCCACTTAGGTCCACTATGTTGTCTCTTTTCACCACACAACACTATATGACAGATTCTCTTGTAGACAACTTGATCCCTACCATCACCAAATGATTGTTACATTTTTTCAACATTATGAATAAGAAGAATTATAGAGTATTCATAATCAATTGGGAATGATTGAAGTAGATTATGATTCTTATATAATTAGGATGATTTTTTTTTTCATACAAATTTATTTGGTATAGTAAATTTAACATGCCATGCAAAACGGTAGTTTTTTTTTTCTCGAATCAGATTTTTCATGTAAAATGGCTATTGTTATCGAATCTTGACCAAAATGAAGTTGTCGAAAATCAGTGGTCGCAAATGCGTTTTGGTTAAAAGTTTATCGAAAATAACTGACCAATAAAGGATCATGAAAATTAATTTTTAACAAAAATAACAGATTACGCCCATGTGGTGGTGGGCGAGTGGTTGGTGGGCCAGGGGTGTTTGGGTGAAAGTCCCTCCCCTCCGGTTTCGATTCCTCCTCTTGCTGTTATCAACATTATGTGGGAAGTCTGTCAGTTGGGCTTTGGCCCAATTGGTTTACCTGGTAGTCAGAAATGCAGGCGGCCTGACTACCCCCTGGCACTTAGTCGGAAGGCATTCCAAACTCGGGATAGGCAGAGTGGTAGCCCGAAGGGCCTAGCCGTTAACACGGTGGACAAGTCCACTATGTAGCACCTCGGTGCGTTCCTACCGGGGCCGACCGGATAGCCGATAGGGTTTATCAAAAAAAAAAAAAAAAAAAAAAATAACAGATTACATTCTATCATTCTTTTACATCAAGTTAACGCATAATGGTTACTAAAAGTGTCAAACATTGTATATTGGTGTAAAACCTTTAACTGTATTTTCTTAGTTGGTCAGATTAGTTTACCATATGTTTCTGTTTCTTTTAAATCGCATTTGAGTGGCGGCCAAAGTTTGAGATATTAAGGACCTTAATTAAGACCTGACCACTTCATTCTTTCAAAACAACAAACCCGTGTGCTATTAATAACGTAATTATAACTTTATCGCCGTCACCAAGTGCATTATTGAACCCCATATGTCCACATGCTTCTTCCAAATTAATAAAAAAATTGAATACGATTTCGTTTACATATAATTGAGTATAATAAGATCTAAAATACTCTAAATTAAATACAATTACTGAAAGAAAAGGTTAAGTTTTTGCCAATAGCTTCTACGCAAGTGGAACCAATTCTATTTTTTCAAAACAATGAGATTACACCTTAACTATATTTTTAAAATCAAACTCAACACCTTATAAATGACGTATAAGTTTAGATAAGCTACACTAATGTAAACTACACCAACACATATGTACGAGTTTCTACATCTATGATTTGTTGTTTAACAGTTTACATCGATTGAAAATTTGATAAAGTAAGCTTTTTGACATTTCTTTGTATCTACATATTTGATGTATTTCTCTAATTTTCAAGTAAACAATTTATCCTATATTTTTTAGTTACATTATTTACGATTACTTATTTCAAAAAAATTACTTCGTTATTTTTACAATATCATTAAATGAGCAGACGGTTATTATTGACAATGTCAATTAATATTTGTTGAAACTAATCGTATATATATACAGTACAATATCATATTATTTTATTAAAATCTCAGATTAAATTAAAATTTTATTCATTTTATGCTTATGCATACTTTTATAAAAATTGAATATAACTGTATTTAAATTAGTCCATTTATATATGCAATTAATGAGTAGACACATGTCAATGTTTCTTATATAGAGTAAACAATTCTAACCAAATTTATTTATTTTTGTTATATTATTTAACTCGATTTACAGTTATTTATCTAAAAACAAAAATAAGAAGTATTATGTCGTTATCTTTAAAATATTTTTAAATAAACAGAAAACTAATGTTCATTTTGTATCATATATTTTCCTTAAAATAAATCATAAATTCAATTAATATTGATTGTAACCCATTCTACATATATATACAATATAATATCATAATTTTTAATGTTTATAAAATTAAATTAAAATTTCATTGATTTTATGTTTACATATCTATTTTTATAAAATTTATTATAGTTAAATTTAAATTAGTTTATTTATATTTGTAGTTAATAAGTGAATTAGTTTATGATTTATTTTCTTCAACCAAAAAAAATAAAAATAATAACAAATATGAATCATGACATATCAAGATCTGGAAAAATCTTTCAACTATTACGTAGAGGATCAAACGACCCATATAAATAAATCTATTCATATAATAGACAAACCATCAACATCAACATCAAATAATTAATGTCATGAGCTGTTTACTATATTAATCACACAATTAAAAAAAATTCCATTAAATAAGAATCTAAAAAAGAAAGAACATGTTTGTTGACCACATAATAAAAACAAAAAAAAATAGAGACAAAGGGTTAAAAACGTCATTTCAGTTCCTAACGAAAAAAATCTCAACACATAGGGGCAAAACTGTCATTTTAATATCGATTCCCACTATAAAAAGCCTATTTGCTTTGTGTTTTTTTGGTAAACAAACAAACCCTTCTTCTTCTTCTTCGTTGTCAGCTTTTTTTCTCTCATGTTTCTCGTCTTCTTCTAAAACTCTGTGACAACAAAAAAAAAACGTAATTGAACAAAAAAAAGAAAATGCTCCGATCACGGAATTGTAAGATCTCCGCCGCGAACGAAGCCGTTATATCTAATCGTCTTTCAATTTCTAATCTCAAAGTTTTATTCGTTTTTGAATCCTCGCCATTGAATAATTCGATTAATCGTTTTTCCGATAAGCTTCTTCGTTGAATCCTTCTCCGATCTCTCCAAATTCGATCGTTTAATTGATTTGAAATTCGTATTTCGGATTTTTTTTTCTCTCTGTTTCTTTACCAACAAAAAAAATCTTCAATGGATAAGAAGAAGAATTCGTTTCCAGATAATCTTCCTGAAGGTAATAGATCTTGAACAATGTTGCATGATAGAGGAATCTGATTCTAATTTTGTATGAGATCTTGAAATTTTTGTATGAATTGAGGATTATGTGAATCTAATATGTTTTGAAATTTGAATTAGGCACAATCTCTGAGATTATGCAGAAGCAGAACAATGTGCAGCCATCTGTTATTGTGATTGGTAGTGGTATATCAGGTCTTGCTGCTGCTAGGAATCTCTCTGAAGCTTCTTTTAAGGTAATTGATATTGTAATCTTGAAAGTTTGAGGTTTGTTATACATTCTCTTTTATGATGATCTATATTGTTGGTTGTTTGTTTGTTGTGTAGGTGACTGTTCTTGAATCACGCGATAGGATTGGTGGTCGTATCCATACCGATTATTCGTTTGGCTGTCCTGTTGATATGGGAGCTTCATGGTTAGTTTTGTTTATATCTCTTTTGATTGTTATTCTTGTTTGGATGATTGGAGAAGTAGGCAACATTGGTAGTTTTTGTTTATTGGAGATTCGGATGTCGAATTGAAAGTTTTCGTAAGAAGAATGCAGATGAGATGTGTACGTTTTTGAATTTCTGATCCTGTTTCTCAAATGTGGTGTAGGTTACATGGAGTCTCTGATGAGAATCCCTTGGCTCCCATTATACGCCGTCTAGGGCTGACTTTATACCGAACTAGCGGGGATGATTCCATCTTGTATGATCATGATCTGGAGAGGTAACCCTTTCTTGCCTTTATAGTTGTGTAAATTTTATCAGTTTATTATGGTTGTATGTGCTAAGATTGACACCCATATCCCTTAGATCTTATGGTTGCATGTGGTTCATTCTTCTAAGCGTGGAAGAAAGTACGTAGTAGATAAATTAGATAATTGTTTGATATGGTTCATTCTCACTAGTTGTCTACTTCAATAAGTTAGATTATTGTATCAAAATTCAATTCCGAAGGTGCTTGATCAAGAAGGGAAGAGTCATAGAGAAATTTTATAGCCTGTCAAGATTAATTTGGCTTCCTTTTTCAGTTATGGACTTTTTGACATGCGTGGGAATAAAATTCCGCCGCAGTTGGTCACTGAAGTTGGAGATGCATTCAAGAGAATTCTCGAAGAGGTGAATTTTGCTTTTTTTAGGTTATTTTTTTCTAATTACTATCCTTTGTCACAAGAGAAGTTGACTCCAGCTTGCTTACTTATTAATTTCAGACGGAGAAAATAAGGGATGAAACTACAGATGACATGTCTGTTCTTCAAGGAATATCTATTGTCTTGGATAGAAATCCAGAACTAAGGTACCAATTGCAGTCACATTGTGTTAAGAGTAACAATTTTACTTCTTAAATTTATATATCTACTAAAAACCTCTGTTATTTTCTTGTATTATCTAGGCTACAAGGTATAGCGTACGAAGTTTTGCAGTGGTACTTATGTAGGATGGAGGCATGGTTTGCAGTAGATGCGAATTTGATATCACTAAAATGTTGGGATCAGGCAAGTAAACGAATACCTTCGTGTTTTATTAGCAGAATCAAAACGGGTTTAAAGGAAACCTGGAAAGCTCAAAGTAGTTATTTGTTGTGCAGGATGAATGCCTTTCTGGTGGTCATGGTTTAATGGTGCAGGGTTACGAGCCAGTGATCAGAACTATTGCAAAAGATCTTGATATTCGCTTGAGCCATAGGTAAATTTTCAATCAACCTTTGATAAGGACTTATACATATCATTTAGCTATCTTACTAAATGATTGGATTGATTCACGCAGGGTTACTAAAGTTGTAAGAACATCTAATAACAAGGTGATAGTCGCTGTTGAAGGTGGAACCAATTTTGTTGCTGATGCTGTTATAATTACGGTTCCAATCGGTGTCCTCAAGGCAAATCTAATTCAATTTGAGCCAGAGCTCCCACAATGGAAAACCTCTGCGATATCGGGTCTTGGTGTAGGCAATGAGAATAAGATTGCCCTGAGATTTGACAGAGCGTTTTGGCCCAATGTGGAGTTCCTCGGGATGGTGGCGCCGACTTCTTACGCATGTGGCTATTTTCTGAATCTTCACAAAGCAACAGGCCATCCGGTGCTTGTTTATATGGCTGCAGGGAATCTAGCACAAGACCTCGAAAAGCTATCTGATGAAGCTACAGCAAATTTCGTGATGCTGCAACTTAAGAAAATGTTTCCCGACGCTCCAGACCCGGTAAACATTCATGGTTATCATCTTATTGCACAATGTCAATCATATATGTTCAGAATACTTAAAGATGTTTTTTGGTTTGGAACAAAAACAGGCTCAATATCTAGTGACAAGGTGGGGAACAGATCCAAACACATTAGGGTGTTATGCGTATGACGTAGTAGGGATGCCGGAAGATCTGTACCCGAGGCTAGGAGAGCCTGTAGATAATATATTCTTCGGAGGTGAAGCTGTGAATGTGGAGCATCAAGGATCCGCTCACGGAGCCTTCTTAGCAGGAGTCACAGCCTCGCAGAATTGTCAAAGGTATATCTTTGAACGACTCGGGGCTTGGGAGAAACTCAAACTTGTTTCTCTGATGAGGAACAGTGACATTCTCGAAACCGCTACTGTGCCTCTCCAAATCTCCAGGATGTGATTTGATTCAATTACATCTACTTGAAAGACAAAAGCAGGGTTCCAATTTTTTTTTCCTCAATCTGAACAAATAAAGAAACATTCACCAATTCTGAATGTGAAGTCATGTTTTTTTTTTTCTTTTTCTATGATATATCTCTTGATGGGTTATATAAACTGTTTATAATTCAAATGACCTAAACATGTTTTACCAGTCTAGTACAATTATTGCTTATATTTTTGTTCGATAAATCTTTCTTTTTTCATAAATAACTATGACGCGATACTGCAGCTCATATAACACATTTGTTTAACCTGGGTATTGGTGTATGGGTATCTTATATGAGATCTATGGTCTAAAAGAAGGACACATTAGTCTTGGACAGTACTGTCTTGGTTAGCCAGATGGAATCGAATGGCTCAAATCTGTAACCTGTGGTACAAGAGCATATTGACTGGTACCCATAGAAGAAGCTTTAGTTAGCTGGTTTGCAAGCTGAGAAAAGCAGTTTCGAGGATCTGGATGAATCTTTTTTGGAAGTCGATATTGGGATTGAGACTGTTTTAATGAAGATTGTAATGGATGAAGAATATGTATAAGAATTGGAAGAAAGAAAACACCGAAAGGGAAACACATCTATGTCCCTTTCCTTTCCAATTTCCTCAAGATTCTTATAGTAAACGTAACACTTAAATCCATTTGGCCGATATATAAACTTGACGGACAAGAAAGATATGAAAACCATGGTTATATGAAGGAAACTATACGTCCCCAAGACGTTTGAAACAAGCAGGACGACTCACCGTTGATGGGGACGAGATAGTTATGATATTGGAACGTTTCCGAGACATTTCGAGAGAAAAATGGTGTACCCATATATATAAACGTGTTTCCGAGACATTTACTATATTTTTTCCAAAACAAGGAAAAAGGAAAAGGAAAGGTAAAAAAATAAATAGTCAATGATTTATATTAGGGTTTTTTTTCCTCACATGTCTCTCAATCGTCAATGATATATATATTAGGCTTTTTATTCTCATGTCTCTCTCTAGTCTCCGCCTCCTCACCTCTCTCGAAACCAAAAAATCACAAGTCACGAACTCTTCATTTTCTCTACGGATCTATCTTCTTCCACAAGCTACCACTTCAACTCTATTCGATTCAGTTTTTGTGTAGCATCTCACGTCGTCATTCACCACTTCGTAGCAGGGTATGCTTATCTCTCTGATTTTTTTGATTGTCGTTTATTATCTGTTTATTTATTTTTTTCAATTCCTTTACATGTATGATGCAATATACGAAATTGTGGCTTCATAAAATATAAAAGAATGATATTAGTAGTTGATCTACTAATTCGTCAAATCAAAAATGGAGAAGTAATATGTGACTAACTTAGAAAACATTGAGCAACATGTGAAAATTGAAGTTTTCGGTGTAATATTTGTAATGAGGTTCGAAGTGGCTCTTATTATAGAGTAAGAGCACATTTGTTTGGAAAACAAAATTTTATTATTATTGTTTGTAGGAAAACAAGTAGGGTCACAAAAGCAAGAATTGCTAGAATGTTTATGTTGGAGGTTTGCCATTTAATCTTGCTAGAAAATAGAAATCTATATTATCATTGGTCTTATAATTTTGTTACTAGTAACAAGATTGAAGGGTATGTACGTGTGGCTATAATAAACTCTAAACCACGTTACTAGCTACATTAAAAATAACCATGTTGAGAGATTATTACAATTGCTTAAATTAACATGGAAGGAAAAATGAGTGCCAAATGTGACAGATGGTTGACGTGCTCAAACCAAAAAACCTTTGATTAATTTCATGACTACTTTCGGAAATGGTCTTATGTTTGTGAAGGCTGTGCATTGTTTTGTTAAAAAATAAATTATTAATTGTTAATTTGATTTGATGAAAGAAGTTATAAATGAGGTTTTCATTAAAATGTGGTGCATATATGTAATAAATTGTAAAGTGGTTGAAGAGTTTATTGAGAATATGTTTTTTTCACATCTATTATATATCATGTGTGGTTCACACTCTTAATCTTGTATTGAAGAACAATTGTGTAGCAAAGAACGTGAAAGTGAATGAGGAAACATGAGGAGTGTAAGTAAATAACAAAAAAATCAAGGAGATGTCTTGAAAATCAAACATTTTATCATGAATCATAACATGAGACTACCAATCATTCTGATTTTAAAGAGTATCAAGCTAACCAAAAAAGGTTATTCAAGCCGTAATTATAAGTGAGGAATGGTTTTGTTATAAAGAGGATGACACGGGAAGGTTAAACTAGTATCAACAATTGAAAGCAATTTAAAAAGAGAGAACATGTTAAAAATTGCTAGTCGTATGGTATGGTTCATGATGAAATGTTTGATTGCCAAGATCTCTCCATGAATTTATGTTATCTGTTTACATTCCTTATATATTTCGTCATTCGTTACGACATTTTTGCTAAACAAATGTTCTTCAAGGCAAGGTTAAAAGTATGAATTACAAATGGTCTCCAAAAGATGTGAAAATACACTCTCAATAATCTCTCAAGTCAGCCTCACAATTTATTGCATTATCAGTGATTGTTTAAAAAACATTTTGATGACACACTTCATTAGTAACCTTTTCCATCATCAATACATCATTTATATGTTCACCAAAACAATTCATAACTTTCATAAACATGAGACCACTTTTAAATGTAACCATGAAATTAATAAGAGAATATTTTGTAAGATCATTCTTAACTATCTGTAACATTCATCATATCTTTTCCATTCCATGTTAATTTGTAACGTCTCAACCACTACCCTTAATGGATCCCACGTCCTCTCTTGGTCCGTGGGTCAACAACCCATGTCAGAAAGCCGATCTCCTACATCCAAGAAGCTCAAAAGACTTGTTTACCGATCCCACAAATCACTTCGTGATCTTTCCCCGTGTTTTATTCTCACTCGTACGGTACCGATAATCAATTCCCAATATGTCTCCCATCCTTAAATTTTCTCAGCTCAAGCAAGCTTAACTGTGAAATTCTATCAGGACGTTTGACCGAAATGATAAGTGCACTTTGGTGACATAAATGAAAAAGAGGAAATTGTTAAAAATGCCCCTTTTGAGATACCCCTTTTCAAAAATACCCTTTTTGAGAGTCCATTTTTAAGTTTGCCCTCTTTTAATTTTTAATGACCATTTTACCCTTATTTGAAACAAAATTAGGTCCACAAAATTTTTTAAAAAAATTGGCGGGAAAAGTGATCCGGCAAATTTTTGGCGGGAAAAGTGATCCCGCAATTATCCCGCCAAAATTTTTTCCCGCCAAAAAAATTGCGGAATCACTTTTTCCGCATAAAAATTTTTTTTGCGGGAAAATTTTACAAGGTATTTTAAAGGTTTTACAAGTTTTTACAAAATCAAATTTGTAATAATGATGTGTGCACATTCTTGTGTTTTCCTTCTATATTTGTTATATTTTTTATTAAAAAGGGTAATTTAGTTATTTTGTACATAAAAATGAGTAATTTTAAAAATGGACAGCTATAGGGGGTATTTTTGAAAAGGGATATAGAAAAAGGGGCATTTTTGCTAATCCCCAATGAAAAGACTTAAGCCTCAAATTTTAAATAAATTAAACATTATAATAATTCTAATATAATTATATATTGGATAACAAAAATTAAATATAATTATACATATAATGAAAACGAATTACAAAAATTTATTCGAGATAAAAAAGATGTAAGCAACTAAAATTTGATAAATGTATTAGAACAATTTATTTCATTATATATTGCATAACTAAAAATATATATGAATATGTTAGAACATAATCAAATATCCAAAGTAAATAGTGGTGATGGATCTTTTCAACTTCATTTCCTTGTTGTGCGATGATTAAAATTGGTATTTTTAACTTTTAATCACCAATAAATCTGAAAGTTTTGCTATAGCCATTAAAACTATTATTTTACATATGTTAATTCAAAATTAAAAATATGAAAATTAAAGAATAAATATGTATAATCTAGTATGGTGTTAGGAACAAAAAAATTAAAAAAGAAAATATAATCAAATTCTAACAATGATGTTTCATTGATTTCAACCCATATAACCAACAAAAATAGATACATGAGTATAGTAGAAGAGGATGAAAAAAAATGATTACTTATAAGATGATAATCTAAAATAGACAATGGAGATGAATATATAAAAAAAATTAAAAACTAATCTAAATATTAAAATTTAGAATTAAGTTTTTACAATGATATTTAATTCGAGTTTTTTTTTTAACTCATACAACAAAAAACATAACCAGAATAAAAACACACAAAACAATAATGAAAAAAAAGATTTGAGATATAGTGGTAGTCTGGTAGATGATGAGAGAATGAGAAAATGAGTATTTATAGGATGAGAAGTGATAAAAGTTACAATTTAAAAAATAAATATGAGAGTTACAATTCTAATTGTTTGTGTGTTGTATAAAATTAAGTGGAAAAATATAGTTAATGCATAATTTATATGATTTCAGTTTTATATTAAAGTGTGATTTAAATGTATATAATTAAATTTGTTTTATTTGTGATTTATTTGAAAATAATTTTAAAAAAAATTACATTGCCAAGTGGACCAATAAGGAGAGAGTGAAACATTACTTTTATATATATGATTTGATATCAATCATATATATAAAAGTAAGTCTTCACTCTCTTCTTATTAGTCTACTTGACAATGTAATTTAAAAAAAAATATTTTCAATTAAACCACAAATAAAAAAATTTTAATGTACACATTTAACTCACACTTCAATATAAAACTGAAATTATATAATATTGTGCATTTACTATATTTTTCTAATTAATTTTATTCAACACACGATCAATTAGAATTGTAACCCCCATATTCATTTTTTAAATTGTAACTCATATCACTTCTCATCCTATAAATAATCATTTTCTCATTTTCTCATTCTTTCATTCTCTCATCCTCTTCCACTATATCTCAAATCTTTTTTTTTTATTACTAGGTTATTAACCCCCGCTACGCGGGGGTTTATATTTATCAATTGTTTTAACATATTTTGTGCGCTTAGTAATTATTTAAGTAGCCA